AGTTCACAGAATCTATCATTGCGGAGAGGTTTGGTAAATATGTCTGCTAACTGATGTTTTGTATCTATATATTCAATTTTACAATTTTCTTTAGTAATATGGTTTCTTAAAAAGTGATGTCTAATTTCAATATGCTTAGTTCTAGAGTGCATAAGAGGATTCTTAGTAAGATTAATTGCACTTGTATTATCACATTTCAAAGGAATATCACTAAGAAAAATACTATAATCTTCTAATTATTGCTTCATCCAAAGAATTTGAGCACAACAATATCCAACCGCTATATATTCGGCCTCAGTTGTTGATAAAGCAACACAAACTTGTTTCTTAGAGTGCTAGGATATTAAGGAAGATCCTAATAGATGACAAGTTCTACTAGTACTCTTTCTATCAATTTTACAACCCCCATAATCAACATCAGAAAAACCTATTAAACTAGGTAAAGCTCTAGAAGGATACCATAATCTAAATCTTATGGTTCCTTTTAGATATTTTAAAATTCTTTTTACTACAGTTAAATGAGATTCTTTTGGACATGCTTGAAATCTAGTACACACACAAACAGAATGCATAATATCAGGTCTACTTGCAGTTAAGTATAATTGAGAGTCTATCATACCTCTATACATTGATTGATTAATTTCCAAACCTGATTCGTTCTTATCCAAATAGTAGGACGTTCCCATTGGAGTGTTAGCTTCTTTTGCAGTGTCCATTCCAAATTTCTTGAGAAACTCCTTGCAGTATTTTGTTTGAGACACAAAAGTGTCATCATTTAGTTGCTTAATTTGAAGTCCAAGGAAGATGGTTAATTCTCCCATCATGGACATTTCAAATTCATTCTGCATAATACTAGCAAATCCTTAATATAAAGAGTTATCAGTAGATCCAAAAATAATATCATCAACATATACTTGAACTAACAAAATATGTTCACCTACTTTCTTAATAAAGAAAGTTGAGTCAATTTTTCCTCTAGAAAAGTCATTAGCTAATAGAAAACTGCTTAACCTTTCATACCATGATCTAGGAGCTTGTTTTAATCCATAAAGTGCCTTTTTCAATTTAAAAATATGATCAAGGTATTTGAAATCTTCAAAACCCAGAGGTTGTTGTACATAAACATTTTCTTTAATAAAACCATTTAGAAAAGTACTTTTGACATCCATTTGATACAATTTGAATTTCATCATTGAAGCATATGCAAGAAGAAGTAGGCGTATAGCCTCTAACCTGGCAACAAGAGCATAAGTTTCATCATAATCTATACCTTCCTCTTGATAGTACCGTTTCGCCACAAGTTTAGCTTTATTCTTTATTATGTTCCCATCTTCATCAAGCTTGTTTCTAAATACCCATTTCGTTCCAATTACTTGATGGGATTCTTCTCTTGGAATCAATTCCCATACTTGATTTCTTTCAAATTAATTTAGTTATTCTTGCATTGCAATGCACCATTAATCATCTTTGAGTGCTTCCTCAACATTTTTGTGTTCAATCTTTGTTGTTGTCTCCATAAGTTACATATCCTTGTTCTTTATTGATGAAACTTGTAAATTTCTTTTTATCCCCAGTCATGTGTCTTGAACATCCACTGTCAAGGTACCACATAGACTTTTTGGATTTAGTAGATACCTACAAAATAAGAACACAGGATCTTAGGTCCCCATAACTTTTGGGTCCTTGGGGTTAGAGACAAACAAATCATTCAAATATAGACACCCAAATATATTTTCCTTTTGGAACACCAAAGTGTTTAATTTTACACTTATTTGAAGTATGTCCTTGTTTCATACAATAAAAACATGCATTGGGGGATTTAAATTTTGAAAATGATTCATTTCTACTTTGTGAAGGTACACTTCCTTTTACAACCCATACTCTGTGGGTTCTTTGATTTTTAGTTTTTCTTAATGAAACATGACTCTTACCTTTAGTTTTTACAAATTTTTTATTTTCATCAACCTTATCTTGTGTACCTTTTTCAAGCAAGTTCTCAAGTATGCAAATATCAAATTCATAGCTTTTACAAGATGCACATGCAATTGGTTCTACTTCTTTTTCTTCAAAAGATGCAATTTTCGTTTAAAAACTTCCACTTCTTTTTCTGATTTATTTAGACTCTTTTTCACGGTTTTATATTCAAATTTCAAGTCCTTAAAGGCAGTAAACAACTCTTGATATGCATTATGTAAAACATCATAATTATTTTCATTATCACTTGAAGAACAATCTGAATCACTTACATCATAGGCAAAAGATACATTGACATTTGCCATTAAGCAAAGATTTGCTTCAATTTCAGAATCACTTGACTCTGAACTAGAGTCACTTTCTTCCCACGCAATGTAAGCTTTCTTTTTGAAAGATTTTATTCATTTTGAATCATCACTTCTTTTGTTGTTGGGACATTCGAATTTCACATGTCCTGTTTCACCACAACCATAACATTTGAAATTTAATGAAGATCCTTCTTTCTCATTTTTCTTACCTTTAAATGATTGCCTCCCTTTGGCTTTCATGAACTTGGTGAATTTTTTTTATCATGAGACTCAGATTTTCATCTTCTTCACTATCGAAATTTTCTTCTTCCTTCTTTTTCTTGTTTTTGGAAATCTCAGTTTTGAAGGCTAAGTTTCTCTTTTGATGTTAGCCTTCTTCATCATTTAACCTTCCTAGTTTAAGCTCGTGCTCTCTCAATTTTTCAAAGAGAGTCGTCATTGTCATTGTTGCCAGATTTTGTGACTCGGCAGTCATTTTGGGTTGTCATTTCCTGTCTAAAGATTTCAAAATCTTAACATTTAACTCGTCAGTATCAAAATTCTTACAAAGTCGCGAGAGATGATTAACAATATGAGTGAAACGCTTTTGAACATCAAAGATTGTTTCTCCCTGTTGCATTTGAAACATCTCATATTTTTGTATCAATGAGTTTTTCCTTGCTCTTTTTATGTCATCGGTTCCTTCGTGAGTCACTTTTAGAATTTTCCGCATTTCTTGAGCACTTTTATAAACTGAAATTCTATAAAATTCATCAAGGGTTAAATCAGATGAAATAATATTTCTAGCCCTAACATCATATTGTGTTTTTCTATTTTCTTCAACAGTCCATCTAGAAAATGGTTTTGGTTCCTCTACTTCATTTACAATCATTTTTGGAATAAACAGACCATTTACAATAGCTTCCCAAACACCCCTGTCAACAGACTCCAAAAATATTTGCATCCTAACTTTCCAGAAAGGATAATTTTGACCAATAAAAAGTGGGGGTCTGTTAATAGATGCACCCTCAGCAAAAGTTTGGTTTTGTTTGGTCATTTTCGAAAATTTGAAAAACTATCAAAGCAAACTCTGATACCACTTGTTGGTATCGCGCAATGGAATGTTTGCATGTAGGACAAAAACAAATAGAGGGGGTGAATTGGTTTCTTATAAAAACTTTCCCTTTTAAAACTTTTTGCAAGTTTTAATGATTAAATGATAATATAACAAAGTACTTGAAATGTAAAGAGATAAGGGAAGAAGATTGCACAAAAGATTTATACTGGTTCGGATCAAAAGACCTTACGTCCAGTTGTTAATCACTCTAAAAGAGGATTAACTCAGTCACTAAAAACAATCGTTCAACAGATTACAAAATACAAATAATAAGGATTAGAAAACACCTCTTTTGAGTCACACAAGAGATGAACACCTCCTTTGAAGTCACAAAGGATGAAGACAATTTTTTCTAGAGACGACACAACACACAATTCACCAAGAAACCCCACTTAGTGATTCTTATTGCTTCTACACTAGATTATAAAAGCTCATTTTTCTTCCCTACTCAAAGTTCTCCAGCAATCACAGCTATAAACTTTAATATGAAAAAGGTTGTAATTTATAGAGAGCCCGAGAGTTCCTTAAATAAAGATTTTATGGTTTAGAAATTAGGGTTTTCAAAAATAGGTTTGAAATTTGAAATTCAAAATCATAACTGACACAGATAATCGATTATCATGAGTGATAATCGATTATCACATAACCATTTTCGCAAAAAACATAATTTTGACAGGATAATCGATTATCAACAGTGATAATCGATTATTCCAGAGACTTTTAGAGACCCACGAGAGCTAGGATAATCGATTATCACAAGTGATAATTGATTATCAATAATCGATTACTAGGATAATCGATTACTAGGATAATCGATTATCACAATGAATTTTAGATAAAAGCGAACTACGGACTATGTGTTGATTATCTTAAACTCTAGTTTTACAGACTTAAAATGATAAAACAGAATAATTACAAATTGATATAACTATATATAAGTCTTCTAATTTTGAAATCATTTATCTCTAAAACATCATCAAAATCTTCGAAATCTTCATGCATGCATTTTCAACCATTTTGATTTTGGTTTTATTTATTTTTATTTTCATAAATTTGAAAATCACTTTTTTTTTATTTATAAAATACAAGTTTTTTGTATAACATTTTTCTTTAATTTTTACTCTTCCAAAATTTTAAATAATTTTATAAATAATACGTACTAACATTATATTAAAATATTATTACATATGTCTTTTAGATAATTATTTAACTTTTTGCTTAACACATAAATACGTAATCAATATTATATACTGTTAGGATCAATATTAATTATTTTTAATTAAAAAGCCAAAACTCGAAACTATAAATATATTTATTTAATTAAGCTTCATGAATTTATAAATTACAATACATGACCCTATTAAGATAATTGATGTTCTTGTTTACTCACTGCTTTAACATTATCATAGTTTACGGTTGAACACCAAACTGAATTGAAATTGCACCAGATCGCAAAAAAAAAGTAGTTCATTTGCACATCGACATGTTCATTGATTTCTTAAGCACACTGGTGAAGTTCTGATGCTATGAAAGAATCATTATTATAATTATTATTGTTATTATACTATTGAAATTTGGCACCTGTTCTTCGTCTTCGCTGGATCTGATCTGAGCAACGTGCCATGAATCGGTTGTTGAAAGCGGCGAGAGCTTCTGGTTCTCTCAACCTCTCCAATCGTTCCCTCACGTAAGCCCTAGCCTACTCTTTCACTTCCGCGTTCATTTTGTCGTTTTCCGTTGTCAATTCATTAGCGAAATGCTATTGTTGTTGTTTCGATTTGCAGAGAAATTCCTGACGAGGTTTACCGGAATCTGGAGGGGCTAGGAGGCGACGACGACAAGTGGTGGGAGGTACAGTACATTCCAAATTGAACCAAAGTTTCATTTTGAATAGGGAAAGGGAATGAATTTTGAAATGAAATGAAATGCAATTAAATGAAATTTACAGGCTGTGGAGCTTCAGAAGCTTATTCTGGCTCACAATAGCATTGGATCGTTGAAGGAAGATCTGAAAAATTTACCTTTTCTCGCTGTGCTGAATCTCAGCCATAACTGTCTCTCGCAACTTCCCGCTGCTGTAGGAGAGTAAGTTTTTGTAACGCTTGAGTTTTGCTTGTTTAACTCTTTTCATTGTAAATTTGACGCTGGATTTTTTGTTCTTGTTTGTTTCTGATTTGTAGGTTACCTCAGTTGAAGATGTTGGATGTTTCGTTCAATTCTATAGTTGAAATTCCGGAGGAGATTGGATCGGCTGCATCGCTTGTAAAGTATGCTGACTTTTGTGTTGTCAGGTTGATTGATATGAGGAAATTTACTTCCTTTTGTACTTACTCTGTTTGCATGTGTGACTTGTGTGCTGCTCGGTTGTTGCATTTGTTTGTTTAGGCTTGATTGTTCAAATAATCGGCTCACGGAGCTTCCTAGCTCGCTTGGCAGATGCTTAGAATTGTTGGACTTAAAGGTAACATTGTCTTGCTGAAACTTCGGAGAGTAGTTGTTAGTTGTGTGATTGGCTTATGCTGCTTATCTTATATAAAAGTGGTTTTTTCAAACTGTGCTCGTATTGTGAATTAAACCTTGAAATGCTATCAACTTTATTTATTATTTTGACTCCTAGAAATGGGTACGACATGGAACAGTGATATTTCGGAAAAAAATTTAAAATTATGGAACATAATTCAAAAATATAAAATTAGTGAAACATTAAAATAAACCATAAGGCTTAAAATCAACATGGTGAAATCTGTAAAAAAAGAAAGAAAAATCAAAGAGGGTGAATGTTTTAAAAGTGTGCATAATTCATTGTAGGAATAATAAATGTTATAAATATTACTATTACTAATGTGATTATTGCATATTCTCAAGTATTGGAATAAAATTGTAAAATATAAAAGTGAAAAAAATGGACGCAGCTTCTTCTTTGAAGTGTTCAAGCTTCTTGAGGGGTTCACTTTGTTCTATGTTAATGTCAGAAAGCACGTACTAATTGATAACAATGAGATACTTCTAACATGAGTATCCAAAGTCCAAACTTCACTACAAATATTGGAGAGTGGAGAGTAATACTTCTTTTGGGTGCAGGATAAAGGAAGGAGTTTCCTTTCTAATAACAACAGTGATACTGCAATTTGTTGGCTAAATTTTTTTCTTGTTTTAAAAGGATTTGTTCAACTCCTGTCACTGGCACTGCCAAAGAATTTACTTTCTTTCAGCTTAACTGTTTCGGGCATCTGGCATTTCTCTCTACCAGTGTGGTGCCTACTTTCAACATATAAGTTACCCTTCCATTTGAGAAGTTTCTTCTCGCCTCTTCATTATGATGGATTTTATTAGAGATCAGACATTGACTAGAGATATGACTAAATTATAATATATGACTGATACGCAAGTGTCACTTAATAAGCTAGGTTTGTATGGTTGAATTATCCATTTATAATATAATTGTTGGCTCATCACTCCACCCATTATTAGGCTACTATCAACTACATTTAATATTTAATTTCCCGCTCTCGAGATGTATATTCGTTAGTGTGAGGGGATGTGTTGAAGATCCATATCAACTAATGATATAACCAAATTATAATATATTACAAGCCAGTTTTGTAGGGTTGAGTTAGACACCTATCCATTTCTAATAGATTTCTTAAAAGAGAATTAAGCTTGAATCTATTTTTGTAACATCACATGCATGAACTCAAGTTGATGCTGTGTAGACTGTCAATCTTCTTGCTTTTTACAATTATAGTTGGTCGTTACCTATTGACCTTAAAATATAATTGGACAGCGACATTGATGATAAGTTTTGTCAAGATTCACTGACTTCCTCAGATATGGAGGTACAATTTTAGTGAATAGATTCTTAGTTTACCTTTTCTTGATTATATATTTGATTTCCTTGGTCCTTGATTTAGGTTATTCAGTATACTTAAATCTATTGATAAAGATTGTGCTTACCTTAATTTGGGGACTGTGAAATTTTCCTTACAGACTTTACCTGTCTTTGTAATTGAACTGAAGTCAGATATAAAATTTTTCTATTTATTGGTGTTTTACTCTTTATTCATATAAAATTCTTGTATATGCTATTTGATGAATGAGGCTTATGATGCAGGGATCAAACAATCTTTTTACGAGCTTGCCAGAAGATTTAGCAAATTGTTGTAAATTGTCTAAGCTAGATATGGAGGTAGTAGTTAGTAGCAAAAGTTACTATATTAGTTGAATGCAAACATCTCCTTAAACCTTTAAATAATTATGGTTTTATTAACCAGTGTTCTGTACATTATCTTTGTCTTTGCTAGGGAAACAAGCTAACAGTGATATCGGAAAATCTCATTTCATCATGGAACATGCTTACTGAACTCAATGCATGTAAGATCCTTTTGTTGTGTAAGGTGACATGCATAATATCAATTTATTATTTATTCCTATTTGTAAATCTTTTGATTTGGCAAACCTTTTTCCAATACAGCAAAAAATTTGCTGAATAGCATACCAGCCAGCATTGGAGGACTTTCACGTCTAATTCGTCTTGACCTTCATCAAAATAGTGAGTTCTTTTTAACAATCGTAAACCTTTTTTGGTCTTTTTGGTTTCTCCATTTACCATTATGATTTAGAAATTATGTGTCAATCTTTGCAGGAATACTGGCAATCCCTTCATCAATCAGTGGTTGTCATTCACTTACTGAGCTTTATTTGGGGTCAAATTCTAACCTACTCCGATGCAAGTCTTCATATTATTAAAATGATGCTATGCTTTGTTTTTTCTTCTAGTTGAAACGTCTGCACTTCTCATACATTTTGTGTTTTGTTTTTTTCCTCTCAATTTAGGAATAACAATATTTCTACAGTACCAATGGAGATAGGGGCCCTTTCTCGACTTGGGACTTTAGATCTTCACTCTAACCAGGTAGGCAATAGTGTTTAGAAACACTATTTAGGGGAAATAATATATTTTTAAAGTTCTCTACTCTCTAGAAGCTAAAAAGATGTTGCAATTTTCTTCTGCTGATGCTTTGTTCTCTTCTCCCTCGATATTTGATTATTAGTTCAATTGCTTATTGATTTTGTGTATTCACAGCTAAAGGACTATCCAGTAGAGGCATGCAAATTGAGTCTTCTAGTCTTAGATCTTTCTAATAATTCATTGAGTGGGTTACCCCCTGAATTGGGTAAGTTCAGCAAGTTTTGGTACTATGATAAGCATAGTTTTCTTTATTTTTGAAAAAAAAAATGTAACTAACAGTGTACCAGTTTGTACAGAAAATATTAAATGAATATAATTTTTTTTATCTCAACTCAATGTATTGATTTCAGTATCTAAAAGAATTGGAAAGAAACTGATAAGTGGTAAAATTGTAAGTCTGGACCTGGGCATGATTTATTATCTTCTCAATGTAGACAATTCTCTTTGCTGACATTGAATCTCTCTACCTTTTGCTTCTTGTTTAGGAAAGATGACTACATTGAGGAAGCTTCTGCTTAGTGGAAATCCTTTGAGAACTCTTCGAAGGTACAGAAAGTTGTTTGGTTCTTTCAGAGGTCAACATTTTTATTCATATTATTTCCCCTAATATTTTTTCTCTCACCAGCTCTTTAGTATCTGGACCTACAGCAGCGTTACTGAAATTTCTCCGAAGCAGACTTTCTGTAGATGAAGGTATCTAACAAAGTTAGATGCATTATCTATAACTTAAATTTGTATTTGTTATTGATGTTAGATGTAATGTAAAATTCTTCTGCAGATTCTGAAGCTGTAACAACAAAAAAGGAAGAGGTGATTGCAATGGCTACCCGATTGTCTATCACTACAAAGGTGCTGCATCTTGAAAAGGAAAATATTCATTACTTAGAGTTTTTTGGTATGATAAGCTGTTTGTAGCGACAGTGTGTTGATATTGCTATGTGCATTAATTGCTTTAACACAATAGGAATTTCACTTTGTACAATTGGATATACAAAATAATACTTGGCTAATTAGTTGCTTGAAATTACTCGGTTTTGACGAGGCACTCATTCCTTATGTTTTCTTCTGCTAATCGAGGTTAGTAGGATACTAGATGGCGTTGTGCTTGTAACAAGGGAAAAAAGGGACAACATCAGTTTTCTTTTTTATTTCTTTTAGTAAGAATTTAGGAATCTTTTGGGGTAAAAATAACAAAAAATTGAGTATGTATGTTATGTACCAATCATGATGTTAATACCCAAGTTGATTACATTGTAGTTTGACAATGGGTTCATTAATGTTATTATAATTTTCTGATGTGTAATCACATTATACACTACCAAAAAAACCCATATATTGCTTTGTTAACCTAAAGTTCATTAAATTTCTTTACCTAGACATTCATTTCCCCACTAATAACCCATCTATTTATAATTGTATTCAGGAACTTTCTATGGAAGGGCTGGGATTGACTACTGTCCCATCTGAAGTGTGGGAATCAGGGGAGGTCATAAAACTTGATCTTTCCAGAAATTCCATCCAGGAGTTGCCAGGAGAACTTTCTTCTTGTGTTTTACTCCAGGTTAAACCTTATCTTCTAGTTTTATTTCCTGTAAGATGCTGTAATAAGTTAACAACCATTATTTTCTGGTACAGAAGGACAATGTTATTGGTGATTATTGACTGAGAAGAAACAATATCATTATATTATGATTCATAAGTACAAGAGTTGTAATTTTTTTTTTAGTATAAAGTAAAACATTTCTCATATGGTAAACCCTTTTCTTTCTGTTGAGTGTACTTCATGAAGATTCATGCTCAAAGAAATTTATGAATCTATTAATGATAATATGTTTCCAGATTTAATGATAATTTGTTGATTAATTGATGTTTGAGGCTTGAGAAGATTACTTAGATATTGTGGTCATAAATTTACCTGCCACATATTGAAAATGCTCTATTAATTCATTTGTAGATTTTACATTTTCCAGACATTGATTTTATCTAAGAACCAAATTATAGAGTGGCCAAGTTCAATTCTTAAATCACTTTCGAGCCTTTCATGTTTGAAGCTGGACAACAATTCCCTCAGACAGGTAACAGCTAATGATTCGAGAGCTCCTCACTCTCTCTCTTTTTTTTCCTTATAAAATGAATAATGATATCAGCATTTCCATAATAGGCATGTCCGCTGCTGCATGTACTGAAACATTTCCATATATTATTTTTCCTCTCGGTATCTACTAGTGACTATCATGTTTTTAAAACTGGACCAGTCTCTAAACTATTGACAATATGGGTTCATGGTTTGAAAGCTTAACCGGATATAATAAAATAATATTTTTATAATATAATAAGTATATAATAAATTTATTAATAACAATAATTTAAAAAAAAATACTAAAGGTTGCTATTATGGTCACCATAAATAAACAATGAAAATTATAAATATATAATGCTTAGAGGGTGAAAGACGGATAATAGTTAAAGTAAGATGAAAATATAATAAAATAACTATTATTTAAAGTTGACAAGACTAATATGCGATAAAGAAAGAAACAAAAAAACTGAAAATTATTATATGTTTTATAAAAAATTGTATTAAAAAAATTAAAAAATTTAATATTAAAATTTTTTTGTTTACCAAAACTTGTTTGATCCAAAAACTCAATCAGTTTTTTTTTATATATATATTTTATACAGGTTTAATTAAAATATGATTGTTTAGAAGTAATGGACCAATAAACTGGTTCCTGGTTGATCCGACTGGTCTGATAGGTTTTTAAAATAATGGTAATTATAGTGGTAGAGATCCTAATAGTTGTGAAATTTCTGCCTTCATATGCTTTATTATCTGCCATAAATTTAAATCAGATGTATGGCATGACTGACCTTATGTCATTTGAACAATAGATACCTTTAGATAGCTTTGAAGTGGTGCCTAAGCTTCAGATCCTGGATCTAAGCGGTAATGCGGCTTCATTACTAGATGGCCCTGCATTTTCTAGTTTGCCTTACCTGCAAGAGCTTTACCTAAGGTTGGTTAAGGAAAGTGTGTGAAGACAACTTCACACATACACAGAGATTTAACTTTCATATTCCTTTATCTTCTTGGGAGCTTGTGCTTAACTTTCAAATCACAACTAACAGAAGAATGAGGCTCAGTGAAGTCCCATCAGATATAGAGGGGCTGCATCAGCTACGGATCCTTGACTTGAGTCAGAATTCCCTTCAATCAATTCCAGTGGTAACATTTTTTCTATGCCTAGAAAACAGCGATTAAGCTTGTTTAACTGCTTGTATATTTATATCCCGTGATAAGTTATGATAATATCCTTGAACTTTATATTGTTTAGATAATGACAATGGCTTAGGGTCTAACTGTTTGTATGCATTCCTCTTGAATTCAAATCTTATCAAAATTTATATTGGCTTGACAATAATTTTTTAGCATTCACTGGTTTTCCTCTCAACCTTACAAATCTGGTTACCATTTTCTTGGTTTTTTCCATGTCTACCCTCCGTTGAATTCTTTATCATGTTTCTTAAATTCTTAGTGATCAGAAAGCAGACTTACAAGTATAATTTGGCCTCTAAAGGTTGAGTCATGTAGATGCATGCACACAAGGAAACTCATCTCCTAAAACTTTTCTTGTCTATAGCATACTACAAACTATTTAACTATATTTTCTATTGCATTTGTTTCCTTTGCTTACGTATGTACTTGTTTTCAGGGGTTAAAAAATCTAACTTCTCTTGAGGAGCTTGACCTATCTGATAACAACATCTCAGTCCTTCCACCTGAGCTGGTGAGAAATGTATACATTCCCTCTCTCGAAAGGGGAGAGTGAGTGTTCATTTTGTTTACCTAACTGACAAAAGTCCCACCAGATATGATGTATAAGCAATTATTTAAGTAGATTCTAAACAATATTACCTTAAGGAAAAAATAATTAACATAATGAAAATATGTACATAATTAGTTAAAAAGAAAGTTGAATATTAAGAAAAAGAAGTTAGAAAATAGAAATGACACTTGATAATGGATTCTAATTTAAAATAAAGAGGTGGTTTCATTTCTTTATTTGTGACTGCATTGCTCATTCAAATGTATTATGAGAAATAGGAGGTGATACAGGGCTGGATGTTAGGCATGTATAAAGGTCAAAAAGGAAATTTTGATTGAATTTATTTTGACTCAGTCTCCCCATGCAGTCACTTTTATCATCTCCATCCGTGCTATAACTTTGATTCATTGCATTTATTTTAGAATTTATTTGATCAGGGTTTGCTGGAACCAACCCTACAGACGCTGAGACTTGATGGGAATCCTCTCAGAAGGTAACTTGGTCCTGCCCCGACCTTTCCTTGTGCTTTCTTAAAATGGAGAACTATTTTTTTTAGCAAAGGACGGGGTTTTGCAAGTATATATGTTGTTTGCGTTTCTGCTATATTTATGCTTTAGGTTTAACATTCAAATCGTGAAAGATAAATTCTAAAGATCATTGCCAAGAATTTCATTTTATCCCCCCCATTCTGCCTTTTTCATAATGAGCTGTGTCCTTGGTTTTAATATGTTTACACATGTTCAGTATTAGTGTTCTATAGTCTAGCACTTTCTCAACATACCCTCTAAATTGTGTCACTAAATCCTCCTAAATTTTGAATTGGAGTGAGTGAAAATAATTAAATTTTCTCAACTTCCCTAAATGTAACTAGAGTTTTAGACATAGTAATTGGACAAGTGTTTAAACCGCAAGGGGTATAGTGTGATTACCCTTACTATTTAGGTACGGTTTTACATGACCAATTGGACCGCAAAAGTAAAATTCTATCAGCTTTAAGTTCCTAACAAAGTAGAAATAAAAATAATATAAAGATCAGCTAGATCTCAACATATGGGAAAGCTGGGTGTCCAAAATGAGCTGATAATTGATAACTTTGATTGGTGAAAATTTTTATGTTTCTTCACTTGTTTCAGCATTCGAAGGACGGTCTTATCTAAAGGAACTAAAGCTGTTCCGAACTATTTGAAGGACAAATTGCCAGAGTAGTTTTCTTTTCTTTTCCTGATGCCATACTTTATGTAGCTGTGTTTGTGCTTCATTTTGTTCAATTATTGACCGATGTTGTACCTTTGCTTTCGTGTGCTATTTCATGTAACTAATTTTTAATTTTAATAGTTAACATTACAAAGAAATTTGCATGGCTTGATTTTTAATTTATTCGCTGATGTTCGTTTTCAATTTTTTTAAAATATCCATGACTTTGGTTTGCTCTTTAGTTTCATACATTTTAATTATATTTTAATCTTATTAACATTTATTTAAGTAATCACTGGAAAATAATTTAATTAAAATATAATAAATAAATAAATGTATTCAAAATTGAGGATTAAATTTAAGTTACACATTTTTTAAGATCTATGAACTAAAATTGTTGGAAAGAAGAGGGAAAAATTAATATTGAAAACAAGAAATTAAAAGGAATTTGAATTTACTTTATTTTAATCATTTAATGCTTATTTGCTTTTGTGATAAAGGAGAATTGGATTAGAAAAAGTGAAAGAAAATTATATTCAAAAGAAAAACTATATATGATAGGAGGAATTGAAAACAATTATACAAAAAGGTTTAGAGATTAGGACTAGTAAAAAATTGTTACATGCCTAAAACTAGTCAACAACGAAAAAAAAACACTAAAATGGTTAATTTAAAAAAAAAATTGTAATATTTTTAAAAAATTATGTGAATGAGTAGATTGTACTTAGATGGACAATTTTGTAAGAAAGTAATTGTGTTTCCAAACACAATTTTTTTTATTAATTTTTAATACCGAAACCATATTAAGAAGTATTTAGTTTTAATTTTTTTTAATATTTTTAGTATTTTGTTTAATAAAGTCATGTCTTTAAATGATTTTATTTTTATATATATTTTAATCATTTTTATATTATTATTACTATTATTAAATTTTAGGATAAATTAAATCTTCTACCCACTTCTTACTTATTAAAATCTTGTTTTCTTTATTGAAGCTATTAGTATAACTTGATATTTCATTGAATTCAGGCAAATATAATAACTACACTAATATTACCTATTACTATAACGTGTAAAGAACCGAGTGCAAAATTGGACAAAATGGTAGAGTTAGTTACATCCTAGGAACACGTGGAGAAAGATCCTAGAGTGAGAGGCCTGAGGAAAAATGTGAGGGAGAAGACAAACAACGCTAAATTCTAAGATTATGTGACGTAGTGACGTGTGTTTGTGATTCTCTTTCCCTTTCAGATTTCTTTGCGGTGGAAATTCTCTTCCATTTGTTCAAGTATGCTTCCACTTTTCTATAACTTATTGTCCACCTAGATGCTTTTATATGAATAAAATTTTCATGTTCTTCCTCTATTTTGAGTTAGTTCTCGGTTTCTATGTTTGGTTATTATTGTATGTTGAGATTTCTAAGTACATTGTTACATTGGTGTTTTTATTGATGATATGGTTGAGAACACTCATTTTAAAAAACTCCATACTAAGATTCATGGTCACTCAAAGGAATTAAAAAAATTAATGGAACTATTGGAGTTTTGTGACCGAGAACAACGTCTTCACACTCAATAGGTGCAATCTATAACGCAAGTCAGTATGGACAAATTGCAACAATTGTTGGACCTGATATTACAATCTCAATCTAATTTTTAGTTCCATGGTGCATCGTCCTCCACTAATTCATCTAACGACTAGTAGAATCTGTTAGTTGGTTTTCTAGTTCATGATATATCGCTGGGATTTCTTCACTTTGACGGGCAATCTTCAGTATTAGAATGGATATTCAAGGCAGAGAAATTTTTTAACTATCATAATACACTTGATGCTAATAGGGTGGACATTGTTGTCATTCATTTCAAGATGTTGTACCATGGTTTCAAATGCTCCAAAGATTATCAGTAGTGTGCTAATGGGCTAACTTAACTAAAGCTCTCGAATCTCAATTTGGTCATTTTTCTTTTGATTGTCCCATGACCGAGTTATTTAAATTGCAACATGTTGGTATCGTTTTGGATTACTATCTCCAATTTATGTCACTTGCAAATCGCTCCTTTGGCTTGTCGACTAAAGCATTATTAAATTGTTTCTTAAGTGGTCTGCATGTCAAGATTTGACAAGTTTTGGTGATGCAAGTGTCATCTTCTTTGTTATGTGTTATAGCTTTAGCTAAACTATATGAAGATAGATATGTTGTTCTTCCCCACTCGTACCAGCCACATATTTGACGATATTCACATTTGGGACCCTTTACAACTATAGTTGTTACGAGTTCTTCAAAGGTTCACAACAAAACCACTATTCCTCCATTACTCCCTACACCTAATGTGAAACCGCTTCCTGAAATTAATGTGAAGAAAATCACTCCAACAGAAATGCAAATCCAACGAGAGAAGGGATTACATTATTTTTGTGATGAGAAGTTTACCTTTAAAACCATAAATGCCCCAATAAACAATATTTGCTCTTGCAACTTGAGGATACGATAGTGGAGTCCAAATCTGCGTCAATACCAGCAACAAATTCTTCGAAAAATTTGGATGGCACTTTAGTAGAAGATCCTCATTTATCCTTCAATGCTTTGAAAGGTGGTCAAGGGTGTGGGCACAATCCGATTTTTGGCATATGTGGACAAGCTTCCTATCACAGTACTTGTAGATGGTGGCAACTCGGATAACTTCCTCCATCCCCAAATTGCTAAATTTCTCAAATTGCCTATTGAATCAGCTCCATTATTCAAAGTGAAGGTAGGAAATGGTAATTACATGGATGTTGAAGGATTTACTAAGAACTTTTTCATTTAGGCTCAAGGCAATCGTTTTCAAATGTCTATCTACATTCTTCCAATTTTTGGGGATGATTTGATACTTGGAGCAAATTGAATTAAAACTCTGGGACCTTATGTTGCAAATTATGACTATCTACATTCTTCCAATTTATGGGGATGATTTGATACTTGGACCAAATTGAATTAAAACTCTGGGACCTCATGTTGCAAATTATGAGGCCTTTTAATTTGAAATTTCTACATCAGGGAAATTGGTAACACTTCAGGACAAGATTAATTCTGCACCATAAATGTTGAATTGCATTATATTAGATGTATGATGAACACACATTGGAAGTATATAGTATGCAATTATTGGATGACAATTCAAAACTATCACACTCATTTGAAATTCTTGAACTTATGGACCTAAATTAGTGGCGCTATTATAGGCTTATACAACAATCTTTACCATACCTACATCCTTACCTCCACCATGCTCCCATGACCACCATATTCCTTTAATTGAAGGTCGAGGCCTACCAAAGTGAAGCCATATCACTATCCCCACAGTCAAAAGGCTGAGATTGAAGACTTAGTGGAGGAGATGTTGAGTGAGGGGATTATTCAACTAGTATGAGTCATTTCTCCTCTCCTATAATTTTGGTGAAAAAGAAGGATGAATCTTAAAGGGTTTTTATTGATTATAAGGCCCTTAACGCAATAACTAACAAGGATAACTTTCCTATTCTTATTGTAGATGAATTGATTAATGAATTATGTGGTGCTTCATTTTTCTCTAAATTGGATTTGATATCCAATTATTATCAAGTGTTAGTCGCTCCTAAAAACAGGTATAAGACAACTTTTCGCACACACCATGGACATTTTGAATGGTTAGTCATGCCTTTTGGCTTAACTAATGCTTTAATGACATTTCAAAGCTTAATGAATGACATTTTTCAACCTATCTTGAGGAAGTTTTTTCTCGTATTTTTTTATGACATATTAGTTTATAGATTCTTCAACACAACCAATTATATGCCTATTTTTCTAAATGTTCTATTGGGGTGCAAGAAATTGAGTATTTAGGCCATACTCTTTCAAGATTGGGTGTTTTTATGGAACAGGTCAAATTACAAGTAGTTATTCATTAGTTCAACCTACAAATGTGAAGCAATTACGAGACTTCCTACACCTAACGGTTTGTCAAGGGATATGCCCATTTAGTTGCACCCTTGACCAACTTATTGCAGAAAGATGTTTTTTACTAGGCCACATCAGAGCCATACAAGTTTTCAATGCTTTAAAAACAACACTCACCAATGCATCAACTTTGGCCCTTCTGAATTTTTCACTACCATTCATTCTGGAGACCGATGCTTTAGGATTCGAGATAGGAGTTTTTTAAGTCAAAAAAATCCAATTGTTTATTTCTCTAAGAAATTGTCTTCCTGAATGCAACGACAATCCACCTATGTGTGTGAATTTTAAGCTATCACCAAAGCACTAGCAAAAATTCGACATTACTTACTTATCCATAAGTTTGTCATTAAAACTGACCAAAAAAGCCTCAAAGAATTATTGGAACCACAATTGCAAACACTAGATAAACAACAATGACTACCTAAATTTCTTAGATTTGATTTCACAATCCAATTTAAGCATGGTCGTGACAAGATTACTGTAAATGCCTTATCTTGCAACTTTATGTTGGCCTAGTTTGGGTTGTAAAATCAATGGCTCAGGAAGTTTCCAGGGTTAGTTCGAACTAATATTAAATTGAAGTCATTATATAACCAATGTGTCACCCACCAAAATCAATTTTAGGAAATCACAATGAAAGATAGTTTGTTATTTGGAAAAGACAGAGTTATGCTACCATCTCAAGCGAACCTCATTCGTCAGTCCTATTAGAATTTCATTCTTCCAAAACTAGGGCTCATGCGAGAATATATTGATACTACATCCATAATTCAACTTGAACTTTATTCAATTTAGTTTGATTTTCTTGGTTTAATACTTGATCAAATTTCTTAATTTTTGAAATTGTTAATCTGTATCTGAAAATTGCGAAAAAGTTTGAAAAGATCAATTCACCTCTGTCTTAATCTCAACCTATAAATCTAAAAGACACAAGAATAAAAGTTAGGTATGCACTATTATGGCCCCTTTGAGATATAATTCAACGTATTGACAATATCTAGGGATGACAAAACAGGTTAGTCACGACGAGTCGATC